CGAGCACGGGCAGCCAGACTGGCGTTTTAGGCAGCGTTGGACGGCAGCCTGCAACGCGACGGCGGGGCAGCTGCAAGACTACTGGAGCAAGGTCGGCAGCGGCGCGCGTGTCCCGACCGCGTCGCCAGAGGCGGATCTGACGGCAGTGTCGTGCAAGACGCACAAGGAGAAGACGCCTGGGAAGGCGACCCGCCGCGGGGGGGAGCAATGCGGGTGGCTCTACGCATGCGCCACAGAGGGATACATTCTCCACCTGAAGGAATACGTCGGTTCGGAAAGCTTACCGCGACGATATTTCTTCCTTGCTGAGCTGGTGGAGAAAGCGCCCGCCATCCACGTGGTCAGGCGCGATGATGCTTGCCACCTGCGGAGGTACACATCCAAGCGCAAGGATGACGGCCCCCTGGCTGGCAGGATGGCGCACCCGAATCTGCAATGCAATACATCACGGATGGGCGACACGACAGGAACCACGTCGACCCGTGGTGCTTGGCGAACTGCTCACCGAAGGCAGAGTGCAACAAAGAGTACACAGAGGGGCACAACAGCCAAGCGTGCGAACAGCTATTTGGTCGGATCGGCAGGCACAAGTTCGTCGTGCGCGCCATGAACCGCTTGACTGGCGCATTCTTCCTGCATGAGATGGCCGCCGTGGTCAACGCCGAGTGGTTGGCCAAAAAGCAGAGGGAGCGCGCGGTGGCCGCGCGGAGCCCTCAGGGGGCGCCCATCGCACAATACCAGTAGGCAAGTGGATGCATGAGGGCGCCTGGCGGCGCTCTAGATTCCTTGGCTTGCGATGTTTTTAAAAATGTCCTTTCGGGCGAGGGCTCAGCAGCTCGCCCTGCCAGCCGCGTCGGACTTGCGACGACGCCTCCTTGGACCCCGTTTTGTCTTTCATGTATGCGCGCCCCCCCCCCCGCCCTCTTTGCCTCAGTACCGCCTTCGTTGCTGCAGTGGCGTAGTGAGTCGCCGTCTTCCTCCTCGCCCCCTTCCCGTTTTGCGCGAGATGGCGGCCTTCGTTGCGGTGCCGCGCATCGTCCCGTGTGGGCCGTGCATCGTCCCGTGTGGGATCGTGATCACCGAGCGCACTGGGAGCACCCAGAACACCCATATCTTGCCAGAGCACCCAGAGCACCGTGAGCACCTGGAACACCCAGGGCACCCGGCAGACCCGGGACACCCGGAACACCCGGTCCCAGAACATCCGGGACACCCGGGACACCCGGCCCTAGGACACCCGGGACCCGGGACACACCGGGGACACACCCGGGACACCCGGGACACCCGGGACACCCGGGGCACCCGGGGCACCCGGGGCACCCGGGGCACCCGGGACACCCGGGACACCCGGGACACCCGGAACACCCGGGACACCCGGGACACCCGGGACACCCGGGACACCCGGGACCCGGAGCACCCGGGACACCCGGGAAGACGCGCAGCCGCAGGGAGGACTGGTATGGGTCGGTTGGAGAGGGGGGGGGTGGAACCGGACCCCCCCCCCTTGGATGGAGGGGGGGGGGTTCGCACCCCGCCCCCCTCCATTCCCCCTCCTCCCCTACTTCTCCTCTCTCCCTCTCCTCGGGCCAGCGCCTGCGTCGGCGGCGGTTTGGGGCGGCGGCGGGGACGACGACTTCTTTTCTGGGCAGGCTCCGGCGCCTGCGGCGGCGGGCGGCGGCGGCGGGGAGCGTCGACGAGGACGACGGCGACGACGACGACGACGACGCTCCGACACCGTGCCTTGGTTTTGGTCAGAGTCCTAATGGATGCCTCTTGGGGTCTCGTCGGAGGGCTCTCGGGGGCCTCTGACGGGCATTTGTGCAGCCTCCTGGGCGCCTCTTGGGCGTCTCTTGGGGCCTCACTACTAAGGTGGTGGTGGTGGTGGGCTGTGGTGGTGGTGGTGGTTGCTGAGGCGGTGGTGGTGGTGGTTGTTGTGGTGGTTGTGGTGGTGGTGGCGGTGGTGGTGGTGGTGCGTTGGATTATGTTGGTGGTGGAAGGAGTTGTGGTGGTGGTTGTGGTGGGTTGAGGTGGTGGTGGTGGTGGTGAGTTTTGGTGGTGGTGGTGGTTGCGGTGGTGGTGGTAGTGGTTGTGGTGTTGGTGGTGGGTTGTGGTTGTGGTGGTCGTGGTGGTGGTTGTGGTGGTGGTTGTGGTGGTGGTTGTGGTGGTTTGTTGTGGTGGTGGTGGTTGTGGTGGTGGTTGGTGGTGGTGGCGGTGCTGGTGGTGTGGCGGTTTGTGGTGGTGGTGGTGGGTTGCGGTGGTGGTGCTGGCCGTGGTGGTGGTTATGGTGGTGGTGGTGTGGTGGTTTGTTGTGGTGGTGGTTGTGGTGGTGGGTGGTGGTGGTGGTGGTGGTGGTTGTGGTGGTTGTGGTGGTTGTGGTGGTGGTGATGTTGGTGGTGGGTTGCGGTGGTGGTGGTGGTGGTTTTGGTGTGGTGGTTTGTGGTGGTGGTGGTTGTGGTGATGGTGGTGTGGTGGTTTGTGGAGGTGGTGGTGGGTGGTGATTGTTGTGGCGGTGGTGGTGGTGGTGGTGTGGTAGATTGCGGTGGTGGTGGTGGTAGCGGTGGTGAGTTGTTGATGTGGTGGTGGTGGTGGTGGTTGTGGTGGTGGTGGTGGTTGTGGTGGTGGGTGCGTGGTGGTTTGCGGTGCTGGTGGTGGCGGTGCTGGTGCTGGGCTGTGGTGTTGGTGGTGGTGCTGGTGCTGCTGGTAGCGGTGGTGCTTGTGGTGGTGGTGGCGGTAGGTGTTGGTGGTGGTGTTGGGTGGTGGTTGGCGGGTGGTGGTGGTTGTGGTTGTGGTGGTGGTGGTGTGGTGGGTTGTGGTGGTGGTGTGGTGGGTTGTGGTGATGGTGGTGGGTTGTGGTGATGGTTGTGGTTGTGGCGGTGGTGGTGATGGTGGTGGTAATGGTGTGGTGGTTTGTGGTGGTGGTGGTTGTGGTGGTGTGTTGTGGTGGGTTGTGGTGGTGCTGGTGGTGGTGGCGTATTCGGTGGTGGTGGTGATGTGGTTTGTAGTTATGGTGGTGGTTGTGGTGGTGGTGGTGGTGGGCTGTGGTGGTTGTGGTGGTGGTGGTGGTGGCGGTGGTGGTGGTGGTGGGCTGTGGTGGTTGTGGTGGTGGTGGTGGTGCTGGTGGTGGTGGTGGTGTGGCCTTCGGCTCTTCCCGCCACCGTGTTTCGGCTTTGGGTCAGAGTTCTAATGGATGATGCCTTTCCGGGTCTCGTCAGAAGGGTTTCGGGGGCGTCTGAGGAGCATGTGTGAAGCCTCGTGGACCTTCCTCAGGGCCTCTCAGTGGCCTCTGGGGGGCGAGGGCTCAATATGGCGATTTGCGTGTTCCCTCTGCGGCCTCTGGGTAATCGTCGCTGCGTCGCCGCCGTCGGCGCTGCTGGCCGCCGCCAGCGCTGGCGCCGGCGCCGGCGCAGGGGGGGGGTTTGGAACCCCCACTCCCCCCTCCTCCCCCTGGGCCCTCTCCGGTCATCGTCGCTGCGTCCCCGCCGTCGGCCCTGCTGGCGGCCGCCAGCGCGGGCGGGGGGGTCGGGAGGGGGAGGGGGCTTAAGGGGGACGGGAGTCCCCCTGATTCTGATCGACGGCGCCGAGTGTTGGGAGGGGGCCCAGCCCCCGTTTCGAAACGCGCCGCCGAATATTCCCAAGGCAAGCGCCAGTGAAACGCGCTCTCTCGCTGCTGCTGCTGCTGCTGCTGCTGCTGCTGACGACGACGACGACGACGACGACGATGATGATGATGATGATGATGATGATGATGCTGATGCTGATGCTGATGCTGATGCTGATGCTGATGCTGATGCTGATGCTGATGCTGATGCTGATGCTGATGCTGATGCTGATGGTGGTGATGATCATGATGCTGAGAATGATGATGGTGCCGACGATGATGATAATGATGCTGCTGGTGATGCTGATTCTGTTGATGACGACGATGATGGTGATAAAGCTGGTAATGGTGATGACGATGACGACGATTATGATGCGGATGATGATCAGGATATTGATCATTATGCTGCTTACGGTGATGATGCTGCTGATGATGACGACGAAGCTCCAGATGATGATGATGATGATGATGATGATGATGATGATGATGATGATGATGATGATGATGACGATGATGGTTATGATGATGACGATGTTGATGCTGATGGTGCGGACGATAGTGATGATGGTGATGATGATGGCATGATGATGACGCTGATAATGATGCTGTTCATGACGATGCTGTTAATGGTGATCGTGACGACGTTGGTGCTTCTGCTGTTGATGATGATAATGGTGCGGATGATGATGATGCTGCTGCTGATGATGATGATGATGATGATGCTGATGCTGCTGATGCTGCTGCTGATGATGCTGATGGTGGTGATGATGCTGCTGCTGCTGCTGCTGCTGCTGATGATGATGATGATGATGATGATGATGATGATGATGATGATGATGATGATGATGATGATAGTGATGACGACGGATGAGGAGGAGGCGGAGGAGGATGAGGAGGATGAGAAGGAGGAGGGCCGCGACGAGGAGGACGACGAGGACGAGGGGACGTGTCAGGAGGAGGATGATGACGATAGTGACGACGACGACGGAAAAGGAGGCGGAGGATGGTGAGGAGGAGGAGGGCGACGACGACGAGGACGACGAGGACGAGGGGACGTGTCAGGAGGAGGATGAGCAAGAGGAAGGGGATGAGGAGGAGGAGGAGGCGGAGGAGGAGGAGGAGGAGGAGGAGGAGGAGGAGGAGGAGGAGAGGAGGAGGAAGAGGAGAGGAGGGAGGAGCGGCAGGAGGAGGAGGAGGAGGAGGAGGAGGAGGAGGGAGGAGGAGGAGGAGGAGGAGGAGGAGGAGGAGCAGCAGGGTCAGGAGGAGGAGGAGGAGGAGGAGGAGGAGGCGGAGAAGAGTGAGCAGGAGGTCGAGGGGGGGAGGGGGGGAAGAGGAAAAGGGGCAGGAGGGCAAGGGAGGTGAGGAGGCTCCCGTGGCGCCGCCGCCCACGCGCCGCGCTCAGTCGCCGACGCTCGGCCCGCACTGCGTCGAGCAGGTCACGGATGCCAGCGGTCTCCACCAGGCTCGTGCCAGCCGCGCGCCGCGCGGCGCGCTGCCGGCGCGCTCCTCTCTCGGAGGAGGGAGTTGGCAGGGGCAGCGTTAAGGTGGTCCGAGGTTCGGTTCGAGGTTTTCGGGGGGGGAGGGTGGTCGAGGTTCGAGATTCTAGATTTTCGGGCGTTTTCGACGGCTCCTGACGGCTCCCCAGCCTCGGGGTGCCTTCCAGCGGCTGCGCCTCGCCGAGAGCGTTCCAGGCGTGCCCGGATGGTTCCGAACGGCCGCTTGAGGCCCGCGTTCTGAGCCGAAAACCACCAGGCGTTGGAGAGGTCGGGGGCAACCTTAACTGGGGACAGGCTCAGAGGGTGCATCGAGCCTCCATCGCCCATTCCTCGCCGCAAGGGGCCCGATAGCCCGCCCCGTCCAGGAACGTGCGACTGACGATCAGGGGCCCATCGCCGATCTATCGGCGATGCACCGCCAATTCCAGCTCGATACCTCCTGCCCTGAGCGAGTCCCCTCCTAACGTTACCCCTCATTTCTCGGATCAGGAGGCCATTTTGGCTCAAGTTCCAAACGTCTGCTCCTGAGCTTGGAGCTTGAACATAGCCGAGGGGGCGGCTCAAGGCCCCCGTGCATTCTAGCTCCGGAGCTCACCCTTTCCACGCCCGCCCGCGTCAGCCTGCCCTGGCGTCGCGGGCTTTGCTGCCGTGACCTCGCGGTCGGCGGCAGTGTGCAGCCATCACCCGCCACAGGGCTGCTCTTTTCCTCTGGTCGCTCGCAGCGGCACCATGGCTGGGGGGCGACAGCAACGGAGGGCAAGCGCGCAAACTTGGTACTGCAAGTGGTGCGAGCACACGCCGTCGGGCACCCCGAGGATCAACCGCGCGGACCACTTGTGGTGTGCACAGCGCGGGCTTCCAAAGGGTCGGCGTTCAAGGGGCACCCTCCTGCCAAGGGCCCGCCAGCCGCTCGCACGCCCGCGGCTGCCAGTGCCCGTGAGATCGCCCTCACAAAGCAGCTGGCCGACATGCAAAAGCGAGTGGACGAGCTGCTCAAGGGGACCGCCTCTTCGGCTGGAGGAGGAGCACGCGGGCCCGCCGCAGGGCAGTCCGCGCCCACCCCCCCTTGGGGGAAGCCTCCTACCGATGAACGCAAGCGGCTCGATGACATCAATGCCTTTCTCAAGTCGAATCTGTTGGGTGACACCGAGACTGACCGACACGTCCGTGCCCAATATGTCAAGGAGCGGGACGAGCTGCAGGCCCGACTCGAAACCACAAAGCTTCCCGAGAAGAATGTCAATGTCATTTCCAACAAGCTCCAGGACGCCCGCAGGGAGCAGGCCGCTTGCCAGCCCAAGCGTTAGGCAGCGGAGCTTGCAGTCCAGAAGGCGCAGCAGGCTCTCGAGCAGGCCCGCGAGGACGAGACGGAGTCCGCAATTGCCATCCCGGAGCTGGAGACCAGGCTGCGAGGTCTCGTGGCCCAGGGCACGCCCAGCTCCAACGGCTCGCCCAATCTCACCGACGTCATCCCAGGGCTGGGCACAACAGTGGACCAGCTGGGGGCAATCGTCCAGGCTCTCGGCGGCGGCGAGAAGTTTGCTGCTGACCTGGCTACTATGGCAGCTTGCGTTGGCAGGTTCAAGGATGAAGCGGCCGCGGCGCAGGCCCAGGCGGCGCCTGAGGAGCAAGGCCCCGAGGCGGCGCTTGGCGGTATGCCTGGCACGCCTGAGCCAGACATGGAGGTGGACGAATCGGCAGCGGACGACGTGGACGACCTCGACGCTGAGACGTGTCGCTAGCACCCCAAGAGTTGTGGCGTTGAAGTCCCTGTGCCCGCGGAGGGGGGCGATGGCCCAGCGCCGCTGCGGGGGCAACTCAAGAGGCAGCTCAATTCCTTCAACACGGTACACAAGAAACTCAAGAAGGCGGCTTAGTTCGAGTCTTTTGGTCTGGTTTGCCACTGTGTACCTATGTCTATCAGCAGTTATGATGATGCCATTCTCTACGTGTGACATTTCCCCCGCGGCTAGCGGGCAGCAGGCCGGCGAGCCTACCTCAGCGGCTGCGCGTGCGGCACGCGCCCTGGGCCTGGACGATCCCGACCTGGGCCCGTTCGCCCAGCTCGACGACAGCCAGGTTGAGGACAGCTCCGTCGTTGGAGAGGCACTCCCAGCTGGACTAGGGGCTGGGGCCGACCCAGACCACAGCAGGGGAGGCGTCATAGGGTGCGCGCGGGCTGCCGCGGACGCGCGGGTGGTCGAAGCCTCCCGCAGCACCCAGCTCACCGCCGACGCCGTCGACGGGCGGGTGGCCGATGCCGTCCAGCTCGGTCAGGGGGCCTCCCAGGGTGCGCCCGCGACAGGTGGGCGCCCTCACCTCAGAGGGCGCAGTTCAGACGCCCCCCAAAGCAATGTTGCAGCCTGCACCTGGTCGTGGGCCCCAGCCCCTGCGGGCTAGGGGGGGGGGGGGGGGCGTGCGCCCAGCCAGCGGGCCCAGGGGCAGACCGGCGTGGAAGGCTCGGCGCCCTGCGAGGCGCAGGGCATTGCCGAGGGCCCGCTGACGGTTGAGCGACCAGGAGCGCAGCAGGCAGCCCGAGTGACCAGCGCCTCTCCTCTGCCATGTGCGGGGGACTCGGGGGCAGCAGACATCGCAGTCACCCGCGAATTCGACCTGCGCCAGGACGGCGAGCCCGACATGAGCGGGATCGCAGACTACGGAGGCGCGTCCACCTGGAGCCACTCAGGAGTCAAACCACCGCTGGCCACGGTGGTGTGTGTGTGTGTGTGTGTGTGTGTGTGTGTGTGTGTGTGTGTGTGTGTGTGTGTGTGTGTGTGTGTGTGTGTGTGTGTGTGTGGGGTGGGGGGGGGGGGGGGGACGAGTGCCCCCTGCGTTTCCCGGGGGGGGGGGGGGGGGCGGCGGGGTGGAACCCGCGCTGTCGTGCCCACTCTGCGGATGATGGTGGCGGGCGTGCCGACCGTCCCCACCCCGCGCCAGGGCCAGGACGATCCGACAGTGTCGTCTCGCGGCATTACTACTGGCTCAGTCCGAGGCGATGCGGGATCCTTTTCACGTCATGTACATTCCACGGTGCGAACAGGCATGGAGCAGCCTGAGTCTTTGAATGGTGTTGACGCGGACCCTGAGAAGCCTGAGACCCTCCCCGGGGTTTCGGTAGAGGGCGCGTGCTCACCGCCATCTTCTTCTACGAGACCGCCCTCTTCGGCGGGCGCGGCAGCGTTGTTTTCTGGCTGCGCGCGGAGCACGCCTGCAGTTGAGGGGGGGCCAGGGGGGCCATGTGCCGAAGCCCGGAGCATAGCGCCAGCGGGCGGAGGCCATCATGTTGGTACCAGGTCACCTTCAGCGGCCGAAGGCGTCGCCAAGTCGGTCAGGGCCAAGCTATCAGGAGATCAGTCGCTCGTCGCGGTCAACGCTACATCGCATGGGCCCATGCTGGATTACCTGGCGCGTGCCACAGAATGGGTCATCGCCATTCAGGAGCATCGCGTTGCCCCCGAGCTGCTTGCATGCAAGCAGCGCGCAATGCTTGACACGGGCTACCGTGGCCTCTGGGCCCCAGCCATCCCCAGCGACGGAGGCGGCATTGGAATTACTGGTGGGGTGGCTGTGGTGGTTCCATCACACATGGGTTTCTGCGCGCCACCAGGCGAGTCGCACATCATCATTCCTGGGCGAGCAGTCGCTTGCCACGTAAATTGGGAGTGTTCCTGGGGGCATGGTGGTGCTTTTAATGCGCCTGCAGGACGGTGAGGTTCTGGGGCCGCGCAACACTGATCTGCTGTGGACCATCATACAATACTTGTGCCTTTTGAATTCCAAGCAGATACCATGGGTGGTGGGTGGGGACTGGAACATGGACAGAGCTGTGCTATGCCAATCCAACTGGGCCAACGCCGTCAATGCAGTGACCTACGTGCCCACCGCCGCAACTTGCAGGCAAACGCGACCAGGCACGTGCATCGACTACTTCGTCTCCAGCGCATCGCTCTCCCAGTTCCTGGGCAGGGAGGTCAGCGTGGACGAGGAGGCGGCCACGTTTCCCCATCTTCCAGTGCGCCTGCCTTCCCTCGCTGCCCCAGTCACAATGTGGGCAAAGGTGCCGTGTGAAAAAAGGGCAGCCCCAGCGACGCCTCCCATCGGGTGTGCGAGGCCACCAGTGTTCCCGTGGCAAGCTGTCATGGAGGTTGCTGGCCCGCAGGTGAATGACAGGCAGAGCTTAGTAGGACTTTGGGACCTCGTCTCTGAGGGCATCTATTTCGAGTCTCAGTTTCTCTGGGACCGCGCGGGGCCCAAGGCGGAGGCTCACTTTGGCAACTCCGAGGCCCCCTCCATCAAGTGGAAGAAGCTGGCCTGGGCTCCCCCAAGACGGCGCTCCCACCGCGACGGCGGCGCGAACGCGTGGGCCACGGCCCTCATATGGGCCATGCATCTCGGGAAGGTCAGACAGTTTTTGGCTGGGGAGGTTCAGCGCTTTCAGATGCGCGCCGCTGTCTGCGACCTTTTTTTTTTTTTTTTTTTTTTTTTTTTTTTTTTTTTTTTTTTTTTTTTTTTTTTTTTTTTTTTTTTTTTTCACCCGAGGCAGTGCGCCAGGCTCGTCCAGGCGTTCTGCGAACTTGCTAAGTCCATGGCTTCCGTCGCGAAAAGAAAAAAAAAGGTTCTCGAGCAGCTTGGGCTGCCAGTGGCAGATTTTCCCGCCGGGGCCTGATTGTACTCGTGCATCCTGTTTTCCCGCGCACCCTTACGCATATTTATACCACCGCCAGGGCCAGAATCCAAGGGGCTGAATATGCCGCTCGGAAAGATTGGTTGCACTGGGCCCGCGACAGTTTTTCACAATGAGCCTCTTTGGCTCATCGGTTTTCTCGGGCTCGGGCCGTCCAGGAGAATGGGGGTGCTGGCCTGGGCACTCAGCCCCGCGCGCTCGCGGGGGCTGACTTGGAGCCCTGGAGGAAGGTCTGGCTGACCAACGGCTGTGCTGCTCAGCCGCTTCCCGATGGGGCCCAGTGGTGGTCCAGCTTTCCCCCCGTACAGCCCTACCACATTCGGGAGGTCGCTCGGAGGTATAGCAGCAAGACCTCGTCAGGCCCCACCAAGACCGCGCCTAGAACGCTGTTGCATATCTCTGAAGGGGCCTGCGGGGCCCTGGCCATGCCTTTTGCCAGTGTGACACCTTCTTGTTTGGCCCAGCGAAAGGATTCGGGCTGAGTTAGGAAGGCTGGCCAAATCAGAAGGAGGCACCAGGCTGATTGCGTTGACCGACACCTTTTGCAGAATCTGGGGTAAGACCCGACAGCCAGTTACTTCAGACTGACAGACGGCACACGGCTGCTTCGAGATTTGGGGCACCCGCCGTGGCTGCAGCAGTTCGGACAGCGCGTTCGCGCAAACTCTTTGCTCAGAGGTGGCCACTCTTGTTGGAGACATCTCAATTTCAGTTTTGCTTGACATGACCAAGAGTTTCGACATGGTACTGCCTGCCCAGATTTTGAGGGAAGCCAAGGTGCTGAACTTCCCTTTTAAGGCTGGCTTGGATGTTGGTCCAACTCTACGCCATCCCGCGGAGGCTGAGTGGCAGTGTGACTGACCTCTTTACCACGTTTTAGGGCATCCTCGCGGGGTGCTCGCACGCAACAGGAATTCTATACCTTATTACTTTCAGGGCGCCCAAGCGCCTTTCGCAAGTGGCCCCCTGCACCGCGCCCAGGGCATATGTTGACGACATTTCCATCCAGCTGGTCACTAGTGACAGGGCGGATGTTCGGTGGTTGAAGCGCGCAGCCAGCGCCTTCACGCAGGAGGCTGCGGAGCTTGGTCCTCTCAAATTTCAAACAGCCCAAGAAGCCAGGCATCATCGCAGCCGCCAGGCGTGGGCGGCACTTCTTTAGGAAGCAAGCCGCCGCGCTAAAGTTGCAGCTTCGCCCTTGGATGAGGAAACTCGGGCATGACCTTGCGGCGAGCCGAGTGATGAGGTCGCAGGAGAAGGGTCGTCTCCGTGCGCTGAAGACCAGGAGGAGAAAGTTCCTTGCGCTCAAGGGAGCAGCCGGCCGCACGGTTTCAAGGCTAGTCAGGACAGGCGCCATGCCAGCCGCTGCGCATGGCGCAGGCGTCGCAGGCGTCTCAGACACGACACTCCCACATATCAGGCAGTTCACAGCCACGCTAGCTGATGGCAAGCCGCATGGCGGCGTTACGGCATACATGATCATGCACCCCGACCCGCTGTATGACCATGTGTACGATTGCACGCTCCACACCGCTGTGAGATATGCGGCTTGGATATGGGACGCGCGTTTTTCCCTTGACAGGCTGCAGAGGGCTTGGACCTTCCTTCGGTCCAAGATGCGCATCAACCCGACGTGGCAGAGTGCTAAGGGACCGCTCTCTTGTACGTGGCTCGCTCTCCTGCGGGTCAACTGGGGCATGTGCAGCGCCCGCGCATTCGTCGCAGACCTCGGCGACGCCATTAGCCTGCTGCACACACCGCCTTACGACGTGAAGCTCTCGATCATCGAGGGCATCCCGCGGTGGCAGCGTCGGCGGCTCCTGTCTCATGTTTGTTTCCGATGACAGCAAGCAGATTTGGCATCGTGCGTTGAGGAATGGGGTCAAAGCGGTCAAGTGCCCCAGACAGTCCGCAGCGCTAGCAGCCGCTTGGGCAAACGCCATTCCGTTCCCCGCTGCGAAGGCAGCGCGGGGATACATGGTTTCACCTCACTGTCGCGTGTGCCTGCATCCCAGCGGGACCTACGGCCATGTGTGGTATCAGTGCCAAGGCCTTGTCCAAGACGATCTGGACCCATGCGGCGATCGGGTCCCCGAGGCGCACCTTTGCCACCGTGCCGCCCTGACGGACTCAGCGATGGACGTCGCTGGGCAGCCGCAGGTGGACAGCACATACATTGCTGTGGGTTTCCCTTCCCTGTCCCAGGCCAGTGCGCTTCAGGCCCCCAACGCCGATCCTGTGGTGTCGCAGTGGTGGTGGTGGTGGTGGTGGTGGTGGTGGTGGTGGTGGGGTGGGGTGGGGGTGGGGGGGGCGTGCATGGCGCTTGGGGGCCTGAAAGCTTTGTGGACGGAAGTTGCTTGCAGTCCAGCATTCCCGAGGTCGCCAGAGCTGGGTGGGGGGCCGTTCAGATCTCCTCTGGCTCGCTGTCTTGCCGTGGTGTCTACGGAGCCCTCCCAGGGCCTAGGCAAACCATCGGGGAAGCCGAGGGATGGGCAGTGCGGCAGAGCCTGCTTCATAATTCGAATGCGGAGCTCATCGCGTTAGATCTTCAAGCCACGGTGAGACAGGGGAACTCTTGGAGTTCAGAGGCCGCCAGGGGCTGTTCTAAGCATGCTGCGATTCGGGCTGATATATACCGGATTTGTGAGACTGTCCCGGGTTTTTTTGTGGCAACCAGCGCATCTCTCGCTCGACGATGTGCTTGAAAACGGATCCAGCCTGCATTTGTGGGCTGGCAGCCCGTGGGCTGATGTCTGTGCTCGGCTCGGAGCGGCGCCCCATTCCTATTCGGAAGGATTCTCGAAGGCCTTGGCGGGTGAATTCAAATGCCACAAATCCACGCTGAAGTTTTTAGCTTGGGCCTCCCTGGGGTTGCTTAAAGTGGTGAGTGGACGGGTTATCTGCCTGAGAATCTTCGGCTGGCCGATGCTTGTTTTGCTGTTCCCAAGGTGCAGATCACCCGTCACTGTCCCTGGAGGTCTGAGGCTCGAGGTGAGTGGATGTGCAAGCACTGTGGGCGTTTTGCTCGCACCCCCGCCTCCCTCAAGGCCCTCCTCACTAGCAGGCGCACCCGCGAGTGTGACCCCGCTGCTTTCCAGAGGGCGGCCGCTGCGGAGTGGTTCCTAGTTCACGGAGCCTCGTTTGCCGTGGTGCGCAGTGAGGCTGTGGGTGTGGCTTGTGAGACCGCAGCGAAGCTGGCACCCGAGTCCGAGGCTCTGGGGTCTTTGGAGGCTGGCCCCTCCCAGCCCATAGGAGACGCGCTGGGGCCCAGGAAGGATCTCGGCCACGGCCCTTTTCAGGTGGGGCCCCTGTTCGTTTGTCGGCGGTGCTCTGCCCATGGGGTCCCTGCTGATTCCAGAAATCTGTTGAGGCCAGCTCAGTGGCCTCCGCCCGTGCGAACCAGCGCATGGGCATCAGGGGGGCGGAGCGAGGGCTCCACCCGACCACTGGCGTTTCGCTCCTCGGCCCGAGTGGCGCGTCTGATGGCCGCGCTTCGGCGGCGGCTGGTGCGGCTGGCCGCGGGGCGGGGTGCGAAGGTAATGATGCCCCTCCCGCCCCTGCCCGTTTTGGGGGCGGGCGCGTAGGTGCTCGCGTTTCCTCCCCTTCCGTGGTGTCACCCCGCGTGATCCCCATCCAGAGGGGGCGACGATTGTTCCGATCAAGTTTTGTTTGGCCCCGCCCCCCGTCGCGTCGTCGCCCGCGCCCGCCGCCCGCGCGCGCCCTCTTCCATTTCGGCGAGACGGAGTGCGGCGCGCAGGCGCCTCGATCTTCGGGGTTGGGCGGGGCCCTTCCTTACCCTCTCCCCCTGGCACGCTCGTGCCCCGCGTGCAAGCTTCAGAGTGCAAGCCTGAGCAGGTCATCCATACTACGTGACGCATATGAGCCACCGTGTGTACAGGCCCTTAGGTGCGTGGTCCCAGGTGGTGTACCCTACGAGGCTCTGGAGCTTTCTGGGGCTAGTTCTAGAGGCGCGGGTTCCGTGATGGAACCTCTGTGCATGCGAGTGCGTGCGTGACAATCTGCTTGCAGGTTTTATGCCACCGTTTGCCATTTCTGTCAAGCGAGCGCCACCTCGCCTGTGCTCGCGGGCACATGTTTGATGGGGGCTCTGCGAGCAGAGCCCGGTCGGACGGCCGACCGTGAGAGGGAAAAACAAGCTCGAGACGCTGTACAACTACTTGCACGGTAGCAGGAGCTCGTGGTTGACGACGCGAAGATCCACGGAGTACCGCGATGAAGGGAGAGCATCGCGGCGATAAGGTGCCAGGCTGGGATGGAGATCCAAAGACCTGGCGGACGTATCGACGGAAGGCCCTCCAGTACCAGGAGGGCACGAAGAGGCAAGACAGGTACCTGTGTGGCCCAAGGCTCGAGGCGAAGCTCACGGGCAGAGCTGAGGTTGCTGGCGCGCGCACTCGGCCACCCGACTCCGAGCCCCCCCTCGACGTCGAGCTGGACCCCCGGACAATGGAGATGGGTCGAAGTGGAGAATGAAGAGAACGACGAGGGGCCGAGCTGGACGTGGGAGTGCGCCGACGGCCGAGGAGAAGAGGAGACAGGCTCGCGCATCTGGAGTGCCACCATTGACGATGACGCCGAGGAGGAGCTGGACGATATGCCAGAGGTCTTCCCGAGCATCGTGCGCGGCTGGCTGATGCTCGCGCGTGCGGGCTTGGATTCCACGGGGAGGTCGGCCATTGTGACCGCCACTGGTGGCCCATTGGAGGCCATCGCGATCTGCGACAAGCTGATCTCGACCTGGGAGGATGACGATTTGGCCGAGCGAGACGGACACGCCAGATACACGAAGGCCTACACGGCGCAGATGGGAGATGACGACCGCACCTGGCTCGACGAGGCGGACGGGGAGCAGGGTGCGGGCAGCTTCGCAGCCGAACAGGAGCACGAGGAGTTCGAAGAGGAACCCGACATGGCCGAAGCCAATGATGTGGATATCGAGTCGTACATGGCCGCCCAGCAGGAGGAGGCCGAGGCATTGGCTGCCATCCACGCGGCCCAGCGTGCCCTTCGCCAGGCGCGCGAAGCGCAGGCTGACAGCAGGCTGAGCCGCGGCTTCTACCGCGGGGGCCGGCCAGGGAGTCAAGCGAAAGGTGGTGGCCGAGGAGCCGGCGGAGGATTCCCAGCGGGATCTCGTCGGCCGATGGGCAACCAGTATGGAGGCCGGGGGATGATTCAACCCCCGAATAAGGGACAGAAGAAATGCCCGAAGTGTGGAGGTGGTCATTGGCTCCAGGATTGCCTGGACCGCCACGATCCTCGCCTCGGCGCCAAGATGAACAACACGCCCGAGGCGAGCGCAAAGATGGCCACCTGCCCGAATGAGCTGAAGTTCAACCTAGTGGCCGCCATGGTCGCCGGGCAGAAGTCTGGGGACTCACCGAGCGAGGCGATGTTCGCCGAGCAGGCCATCTTGGAGGGCAAGGGAATCTTCGATTTAGGCTGCGCGGAAACCATGGGTGGTGAGCGTGCGCTCGACATCGTGGCCCGCAAGAACCTGGGGAAGTATGGCGACGCGAGGCTCCGTGACGTGAACCTCAGCTACCAGCCAGTGTACAGCTTCGGGAACGGGGAGAATGAGCGCGCCTACGGACCGGTGAAGTTCGGGATCACGGGCGCGGGCAACGAGGGGGACATCGCGATCAACGGGTTCGCGAAGGATGTCCCGATCCTCGTGTCGAAGAAGGTGGTCAAGAAGCTAGGGGCGGTCATTGACTCTGACACGGGCGTCGCGGTGTTCGTGGAGCTAGCCCCGAATGCCCCCGTGCAGCTGGAGGAGTCGCCCGATGGCGGACACTGCTACATGAGCCTGGTCGACGACATCTTAGAGCACCGAGTGCAGGACCCCGTCAAGCTGCAGAACTTCAGGAAGATCAGCCAGCACGTCTCTGAGTGGGGCAGGCCGGATCCGGCCGCCTTCATGGGGCAGGTGCCGTTCGGAGCCGACCCGTCCGAGGAAGATGGATAATGCTCACACCTGCTTCCCTCCCTCCACGTCGCCAGCATTCCCATAGGGTCGAGCGAGGGATTCCGAGCAGTCCGAGACCCCGGGAGGCCACGAGCAGATGCGGAGAGGGACCAGCAGGGCATCCATAGCCGTTCTGGCTCGAGCCCGGCGAGATCTCCAGCAGATGAATTATTGATCGACGCGGTGCAGCCTGCACCCCCAGAACCTACATATACTCGACCGCTGCCAGCGGATGGCAGCCAGATGTTCGGCGGCAGCTTCGTCAGAGGAGCGCTCCAGCTGGCCTGCGTCAGCGCCGCCTGCGGGTGCAAGCCCGAGATGGGGAATGTCAGCTTCCCGCAGGGAGGTGCACCATCTCCACAAGGCGGAGGCGGTGGAGGTGATCAAAGAGCTGGGTTTGTCCTTCAGCCCGGCCTGGTCGATGGACGAGCTGAGGCACACCATCAAGGAGGCCCTTTTCCCGAGGGACGAGAGCGCCTCTCAGAAGATCCTGAAGGGGATCAGCGCCATGAAGAAGCAGGAGCTGGCCCAGAAGGCAGAGGAGGTCGGGGCCCACCTCACGCCGAACATGACGAAAACAGCGATGAAGCTGGAGATCCGCAAGGCCGTGTTGATGAAGACGAAGCCCGCGCCGACGGACTTCATGGATTTCGGCAAGCACGGGGTCAGCTCATGGAACGGGCGCAAGCTCGGGACTGACCAAGGCAACCAGAAGGGCCGGGAGACCCGGGACAAGGCCGAGCCCGAGCACCTCTGGATCAGCACTTGGTGTGGTCCCCTATCCACGCTGACACTCGGTTTCAACGCCACCAACCCAGCCAGGGCAGAGATGACCAGACAACGACGGGTCCAAGCGATCAAAGAGTATAAGGGCGCGGTGCAATTGGTGTACGACCAGGTGGCCCAGGGAAGGCGCGCCCATTGGGAGTGGCCCATCAAGTGCGAAGGATGGGGCCATGCCATGATCCGTCAGATGATCGAGGACTGCTCGATGACCGTGGTGAATGTGGCCGGGTGCCAGCTTGGGGTCAAGAATGAGAAGGGGGAGCCCCTCTTGAAGGAATTGCTCATCGCTGCGACCTCACCGAAGATGGCGTCTCGGATGGCCACAGAGTGCCTGGAGGTCACCGGCGTGGCCAGGTCATGGGCGGGGGCCTCGCGGCCTCGACAAGCTACTACACGGACGAGTTCGCCCGGAGGGCCGTGCGGGCCATGATCGAGGACGCCGCGCCGGACTACCACGAGTTCTTGAGGAGTATGTCTACGGAGAATGAGACCAACGGACGCGCCCTCGCGGGGCACCAGGAGTCGAACTCACCCGCCGAGGACCCTGGCTCCAAGGAGTACCAGAAGATCACGCAGTGGATCGCGTCTGTGCACCGAGGGTTCGGTCACAGCTCCAAGGCGTCCATGCTGAATGCGCTGAAAAGGAAGGGAGTGCGCTCCATGGTGCTGAGGGTGGCCCAGGACTTCCACTGCGAGGCGTGCGAGGAAGCGAACAACCATCGCCTGACGCACCCGCCCGTCAGTCTCGAGGCCATACCCCCGAAGTGGAAGCAGATCCAGGCGGACCAGTCGAGTGGGAACACCCCCGGACAAAGCTCAAGGCCAAGTTCTCGCTGATCGTTGACGAGAACTGCAAGGTCCGGGTCACTAAGCTGTTATACCACATAGTGGGCCAGGACCGCCACAGGAATCCCGTCTGGGCAGACCTCGAGAACTTCTACGAGGGAAGGTGGCTACCTTACTTCGGGAAGCCACAGCGCGTGAAGGTGGACCCCGAGGGCTCCTGGATGTCCCAGCAGGCCGCTCAGCATTTTGATTCAGACTCCATCGGGTACGAGCCGATCCCCGGCCAGGCTCACTGGCACATTTCTCTCGCGGAAGAGGCGATTCAGGCAACAAAAGGGACGATGGACAAGCTCGTGGCGGAGAACCCTGACATGTCCACCGAAGAGGCCCTGGCCCGTGCCACCGTAGCCGGGAACTCACGGGAAGACGTACGAGGCCACTCCCCCCTGCAGCACGCGCTGGGAAGGGCCCCTGACCTGGACGGCCATTTCTTCGAGAGCGACTTCGACGAGCTGCCCTGCGTCGAGGCGCAACGGGTCGACAAGGAGTACGGCGAGAACTACATGAGGATGTACGCGGCCGAGCAGGAGTACCCGAGGCAGGTGTACCTACGTCGCCTGGGTCGTGCAGAGAATGCCAAGAACCAAGCGCTCAAGGCCGTGGCGCCTGGCATGTGGGTGCGCTATTTCTGCGAGGAGAAAGGCGAGGTCAAAGGCCGATTCAAGGGGCTCGCGCGGGTGCTCGCGGCGGAGACGAGCCGGCCCGTGGACGGTGACCTTGGAGCAAACGCGACATTGCACCCAGGTCGTGCCGGACCTGTGGTCTGGTTGGCCCGGGCCGAGCGCATCATCAAGGTAGACTTGTGCCAGATCCGAGCTGCATCCGCGCGGGAGATCGCCTGCGCTGGGCTCATGGCGGGCAAGGACACGCCCTGGACCGTGAACACATTCATGAATCAGGCGATGCGGCAGGAGTACCTGGACTTTTCGGGGCACGACCCCACAGAGCAGGACGAGGAGCTCGCATCCTGGGAGGGGGTGCCGGAGCCATCACCTCCAGCGAAGAAGGCCCGCCACGAGGAGCCGCCCAGCGAGACCAAGTCCGAGCGCAACCAGATCCCTGTGCGCAAGGCGATTCGGAAGAAGGCGCCTCCGCCAGGAGGAGTGGCCAGTATCGCGAAGGCAACCCAGGCTGTGCAGGCAGAGGATGTCATGATGGAAATGGCTGCCCTCGTGGCCAAGGCATCCCTGGATGCACGATCCTTCTGGGCACGGCAGGGTGCATCCCTGGAGATCTCGGTCGAGCTGCCCCTGGCAGGAAAGCCCTTGAAGCTGGCCGCGAGACACATGAGCACCTACATGGCAGGCCAACTGAAAAGAGGGAAGCGAGAGATCTCAGAGCGGACCCTCGCCCCGGGGGAGGTGAAGAAGTTCAGTGTCGCCAAGGCCACCGAGGTGAACAATCGCGTCATGTTGTCCGCGCTGGAATCCTCGCCGCCTGGGGTCACACCGCCACCAGAGGATGTAATGCGCATGCGGTGGATCCTGGAGTGGAAGATGGATGAGACTACGAGTGAGAAGACGCCCAAGGCCCGGATCGTGGTCTTGGGTTACATGGATCTTGAGTACGAGCACCAGCCGACGATCGCCCCAACCATGACCAGGACCTCCGGGCACCTAGTGCTGAAGGCAATGGCGTGGCTCGGGTTCAAGGGTTACAAGGCCGACGTGACAGGAGCGTTTACCCAGAACCGGGAGATCAAGCATGACCTGTTCGTGATGCCCGTGAAGGAGCTGGCCGTCGCCCTGGGGGTGCCCGAAGGGGTTGCGATGCGACTGCGGAAGGCAGTCTATGGGCTCGTGGAGGCAGCCATCGAGTGGTTCATGACGGTGAGCGAGGCCCTGGAGGAGTTCGGCTGGACGCAGATGAAGATGGACCCACGCGTTTGGGTACTCCACGGCCAATCCCACGGCCAGGACACCAGATTCACGAAGGAGGCCCTGGGCCAATTCACCAGGTCCGAGGTAATGGGCGAGCTGATCGCGGCGAAGGGTGACCTGGACATTGTGGCTATCGCAGGGCCCCACGTGGATGACTTCCTGCTCGGAGGGAAGGGGACGGACCCCAGGTGGATCGAAGCCAGGAAGAAGATCGAAGAGCGATTCAAGTGGAAGACATGGGAGACCGACGAGTTCATGCAGACTGGAGCCCCGATACGGCAGCTGCCAGATATGAGCTTCAAGATGGACCAGAGTGAGTATGTCGAGTCCATCGAGGGGGCAGTCGTGAGCCCGGAGCGAAAGAAGAACAAGGACGCCCCGACCACCGACAATGAGGAGGGGCAGCTGAGGGCAATCCTGGGTGCCATCGGCTGGCGCTCCGAGCAGTCAGGCCCCATGCACTCGGCGGACACAAGCCTTTTGCTAAGCGCGATGCCGTCCTCCACCGTGCAGACCCTCCTGGGCGCGAACCGCCTGGTGGACAGGGTGCAGGAGGGAGTAGACCTCCCTGTGGTCATCCACAGCCATTCTAACGCGCAGGTGATCGTTCCCATCGAGTGGTCAGATTCCTCGAAAGCGAACCGCCCCGACGGGAAATCCACCAAGGGGCTTGTCACGGGGATGGCCCCACTACGCATCCTGCGGGGGGATGAATCAGACGTGGGCATGATATCATGAAGTCAGGAAAGATTGACCGAGGGTGCCGGAGCTCAGTATCATGTGGGACCCGATCAGCTGTGGGCGGTGAGGACGAACTGTTCGGGGTCAAGCTCCAATGGTTGGAGATCCTCGGCAATCAGATCGACTGGCGCAACCCGGAGGGGGCACTCAGTCAGTTGCCCGCCGCCCTCGTGCTGGACTCCAAGGGCCCCTGCGACGAGCTGCAGACCACGGTGTGCACGTTCCGCGGCAAGGAGAAGAGGGCGGACGTTGAGGCCATGACCCTGAAGGAGGGATCGACGGCATCCAACAATTGGGTACCGAGGGTACACGGAGACGCTCAGCTGGCGAACTCATTGACGAAACGGCACGAGCCTGGCCAGCTGAGGATGTACTACAACAGTGGCCACAGGTGGAAGTTAGTCTATAACGCCAAGTACCAGAGCGCTAAGAAGCGGAAAGCCGCGGGGATCCTTCCGTTCGAGAGCGTCCCCCCTGGAGTGCTGCGCCGCGAAGATGCGGGAGACGGGGCCACGTGCGCTGCAGCAGGCGCTGGAACCAGTCCCGTGGGTTTCCCTGAATACGAGGCGATTTCTGATTACAGCAGTGAGGGGGAGTTGATGGACTGAACCATGCTCAGCTTGGAGAACCCTTATCCGTGCAAGCTTCAGAGTGCAAGCCGGAGCAGGTCATCCATATTACTTGACGCATATGAGCCACCGTGTGTACAGGCCCTTAGGCGCGGGGTCCCAAGTGGTGTGCCCTACGAGGCTCTGGAGCTTTTTGGGGCTAGTTCTAGAGGCACGGGTTCCGTGATGGAACCGTTGTACATGCAAGTGCGTACGTGACAATCTGTTTGCAGGTTTTATGTCACCGTTTGGCATTTCTGTGAAGCGAGCGCCACCTCGCTTGTGCTCGCGGGCGCATGTTTGATGGAGGCTCTGTGAGCAGAGCCCGGTCGGACGGCCGACCGTGAGAGGGAAAAACAAGTTCGGGGAGCTGTGCGTATGCCGACAACGACATGCACCGCGGGAGCTCATCGAACTCGGACCGCCCAGTCGAGCTTCAGCTCTTCTGGGAGGCGCACCGGTTGCACCACCATTCGGAGCAGGAGGAGGAGGAGGCGGAGAAATTTGTGCGGAAGGTTCGCGTCGTGTCGGCCGACGGCGACCCTACCGCTGGCGTTCAACCTTGAACGCCGCTGGCGACTGAGAATCGGTCAAGCTTGAACAGTCTAACGTTTGGGAAACGGCCGATCGTTCAAGGTGGACCGATCCCCGTGGTGGTGTCGGAAGCCAGCGCTGGGGCCGACACGACAGGAACCCGCGGTGCGCAAGTGTGGATGATGGTGACTGTGAGCATGAAAAGCTCGTTCACTTGGGGAAGGAAGCTGGAGCCTGAAGCCCAACCCTGCGAGCCCACGATCTTGGTGTACCTTCTGGCCACCCGTCCTACTCGCCTGAAGCCTTCAGAACTCTTCAAAGGTGGCCCCGGAAAGCCGTGAGATGACCCGAAGAGCGGCAAAAGACGCAACAAGCGACTCCGAAGAGCGCCCCCAGGGGCCAAGGGGTTCCAAGAGCCGAGGACATCCCAAGAGGGCCCTCGTGCGCCCCCAATGTGGCCTCAGAAGGCCCGTCTCGCTGGCATTGAGCACCCCAACTCATAACAACATATCAGCACATCTGTGGTTCATTAGGTGTCTGGCTCAGGAAGGGTCTAGCTCAGGAATAGTCTTGGGGTCAGCGCTGGGAGGGCCCCCGGGCTCCCGCGAGACTCCAGGAGGGCTTTCAGGGGCACCGCTAGATTTCAGTCGGGCACGTCGTTTTACAGGAAGAGTATTCGAAAGTGTAGAAAAATAGTCAGGGGACGTTGTTTTGACTATATTTGTGCATTTTCGAGTATTGGTGGACTATTTTTATTTTTCGTCCAACATCCGCCTGTAGGAGGACATGCCCGACCTAACACTAGATGTTCAAAATGGGGCTCACGTCATGGTCCACGAGTGCCGCAAGAGGCTCCCGAGGTGCCGCAAGAGCGCCCTGGGCGGGCCCAAACGGATTCAGATGTATCGAGTTGTTATTTGAGGGTTTGGCTGTCCGATTCAACTCTCTGCCAGCAGACTTCCCGCTGATGTTAGGACCAGTGAGGTGGACCGTCCCTCGAGACGTGTTGCACAGAATTTCAGACCAATCGCTTGATCGAGTTCTCCTGCAAGCGCCAATTTTCACGCTGACCGCTTTGTCGGCCCGCAATCTTCGAACCAACGGCTTGTTCGATTGCTCTTGCCAGCGCTAGCGTCCACACGAAGGGATTTAACAATCTACGCTGCCAGTGAGTCGGGCCCTTCGGTGGTACTGCACGTGTCGCAGTAAGTTTTCTGAGCGCCAGGCTTTGACCGTCTCGATCGCCGTGACGTCCTTGCCGTCTTCAAGGCCCAGTGGTTGGCAGTAGACAAAGCAAGTCCTCCTCCTTGAGCGCACGTGAAGCGTGCGATGGTTCTAGTCTGTATATACATGTACACACATATTTATCTATAACTGTATCAATACGTGTACTGTGCACAGCATAGGTTGCACCACATAGCTTGCGCGACGTGGATTGCACACCATGTGCCTGCACCACACAGATTGCGTCACCTGTATTGCACAGCATACATTGCACCAAGTAGTTGGCACGATATAGGCTGCTTCACATTGAATGCACAACACAGGTCGCGCCACAGATATTGTACTACATGTGCTGCACCACGTATATTCCACCACATCGATTACCCACCATATATTTAAGTGTATATATATATATATACACGTACTGCGCACCGTATATTCGAGTATATTCGATTGCACCAAGTAGATCGCACCACATATAGTGCACACCATACATGGCCACCATAACTTGCATAACGTCTACTGCACCACATGTATTGAATCACGTAGATTGCCCCACATGGATTGCACAGCCTATATAGCACCTCGTAGATCGCACTACTGTCAGTGCACAATATAGGCTGCACAATATACGGTGTACAGCATACATTGTACCCCGTATGCTGCCCACCAGGTATTGCTGGAACTAAACTGCTTGGGGTCCACGCTGGCTAACAAGTTTTACTGATGTCATAGCAGGGGTCCGCCGAGTGTTTTCTTCGTTGGCACCCCGTTGACGCCTCGTGGGCGCTCGTGGGCGCCCCGTGCGCTGTGTGGGTCCGCCGAGGTTTCGCCGCGTTGGCGGGCGCTCGGGGTGGATCCGCCAAGGCTCGTCTCGTTGGCACCCCGCGCCCGCGCGTGGGCGCCTCGAGGGCGCCCGTGGTGGGCCCCGTGCACTTGGTGGGTCCGCCGAGGTTTCGCCTGGTGCCCGCGCGTGGGCGTCTCGAGGGCGCCCGTGGTGGGCTCCCCGTGCCGTGGGTGGGTAGCACAGCTTGCGCAGCATAGCTCACACCACATGGGCTGACACAGCATGGCTAATACCACATGGCTTACACCGCATGCCTTTCACCTCCACAGTGCAACAGCTCATTATTCGGGGTCCACGCTGGCTGACATCTCTTATAGGTTAGCCACCGTCGGCCCCAAGCAGTGAATGATTGCATTGTAAAGGTGGGAGCAATGTGGTGTAAGCTATGCCGTGTAAGTTATGTGCTGTGGTTGATGGAGACGGAGGGAGGATGTGGTGGCTGTAAGATATGGCATACTTGAGTGGTTTTAGCTGCTGATGAACGTTGTGTGGTCTAAGCAACATGGTGCATTTGATAATCACCACGAATGAATTGTCAACTCAACTGTTCGCAGTAACATCCCACCGTCCAACCCGCACCTTGCTTTGCAAAACATATGCGGCCGCGATTGCGGATGCTGCTTGGCACTGGCTGGCGCATCTTTGCGGTCGCGCTGGCTCCCGCAAGCTCGCGCGCATAGCGCCCAGCTGGTTTGGCACAACTGACGTGGCCGCGACGGAGTTTGCCGATGGGAACTTCCCGTCGCGTCTCCAAGGCCGCGGTGGCGCGCGGGCACTTCAGTGCGGGTCGGTGGCTCGGGTGGGCGCTACATCATGATGACGTCGGCAACGGCGGCAACTGATCATAGCAGCGATTGTGGTGGCGATGATGACGATGAAGACGGCAAGGCCAATGACGGCTCCGATTCTGGTGACGACGGCGAGGATGATGATTTCCATGTGGTGTGTCGGAGATGAATGTGGTTGGCTGATGGCGGCGGCAATGGCGGCGATTTGCGATGGTTGCGTTGGGGAGGGTGGTAGCTGGGAAGTGCGCGCACGCATCAATTCAAGAACGCTGACGGGGTGTCGTTGAAAAGTGTTTGGGTTTTCGTATGACGTCGGCACGGTATTGAATGGTCTCCGGCCCATTCCGCCACCGTGCCCGGGTCTTGGATATGAGGCCTTTTGAAGGATTGTTAGGATTTTGTCGAGGCCTTTCGGGTGCCTCCTGGAGGCAGTTCGTTTTGAGTCCTCTGGGGGTTTGTTCTGGGCCCTTGTTGGATCCTCTTTTGGGCCTCTTGGGGGCCTCATGGGGCCTTTTGGGGCCTCTCGGGGGCTTCTCGGGGCCTCGTGGGACCCTCTTGGACCTCTCATGAAGGGCCGTTTTGGGTTCCTCTTGGGCCGTCTTTGGCGCCTCTTGGGCCGTGTCGGGGCCTTCTTGGGCTGTCTTGGGGGCCTCTTCGGGGCCTCTTGGGCCGTGTCGTGGCGATCCTGGAGAGTTCTCGAGCAATTTTGGAGCGTCGCGAAGCCGAAAAGTCGAGCAGGTAAAAAAAAACCAGGAACACCAATCATGTTGGCGCCTTGGGGCTTGGGAGGGCTCTTCGGGTTCTCTTCGGCCGCCTCGGGGGCCTCGTGGACCAGGGCTGGACCTAAACGCTGTTTTGCTGGACTTCGGCTGTGTCTTGTTTTTTTTGTTTTGGCAGGGAGTTGGAGGACAACAGTTAGAGCAAAACGAACAACAAAACGAACACATAACGACACACAACGTTTAGGTCCAGCCGTGTCGTGGACCGTCTTGAAGCCATCTTGGGCGTTTGGGTGCGATCGTTCGGCGACTTTGCGGCCCTCGGGGCCCTCTGGGGGCCCCCCCTTGGCTGCGAAGAGGTCACGCGGGGAACCGCGCCACGGCCCCTGGGGGCACGCGGCACGCGCAGGGGAGATTTGGCAATCTGGGGCCTGGGCCCCTCGAGAACCCTCATGGGGCGAGGCTTGAGGAAGCGTGCTGCAAATACTTTCCAGATGTCTGTTACACGTTTCAAGCATGTCTTACACGTGCAAAGACATGTTTAAAACAAGTTGTAGAACAGGTTTTAAGCATTTAAACACATCTTCAAATCAATGATAGGACTGTTAGAGTGTCCATTGTCATGGCATCCACAAGCTTAGAGGGTTAGGCAACGGATCTTGGGACACGCCCACACCGTGCCGCAGAGCACGGTGGCGGATATCTCCAATCTCCACACGCTTCGCATTGGTTTTGGATGGATTTCGGCACGCGCGCGCCACGGCTCGCGCGTGTGTTGCCTGTTTTGTGTTCCCCAGCCAGCCCTTGC